CAAAGTTAGAAAAATTACATTTCATAGACAAATCATGAACATGCTAACACTTGCATGTGAACAAGAATGCTTCTAAAGAAGCTCAACTCAGCAAATCACCCAAGAAATTGCAATCTCCAATCTTGTATCCTGTACCTGAAATATGCCCCAGTATCGTAGGGGTGAGTAACATAAAGCTACTCGTAGGAAATGAGCATGCATCGACCTAAAGTTTTACAAGTTGCATGATTTAATTATTGTGGTTCATTCCACCTAACGTCTATGTCAAGGTGAGACTCAGGGAGCATCCTAGCTACCTAAGATCATTTTTAGCATCAATCACCTCATTCATGCAATTTTAACAACATAGGGTCATGCTTACACAAAGCAACAACATAGGAGCATACTTACACAAAGCAACAACATAGTGGTTCTCAAGGTTATCAACTTAAAGTCTAAAATGCAACATCAACTAAATATAACAATTTAGCAGAATTAGAATATCTAATACCACACATCAAGACATAGATTCTCTAGGTTATCAACTAGCAATCTAAAAGTGTGAAATCAACTAAATATATCAATTTAGTATGGATGTACTTAACAACATCAAATCGCCAATTACCAAAACCACAAGTCACAATTAAACATTGGTTGTTAACTTGGAATTGAATGCGAAATCAAATAGTGGAAGACTTGGACATCATAGCTCGGATTTCCGCCGAGACAAGGCAAATTTAGAGTTACTAACCTCCAGGCAGCCTACCCAACGCACAAACTTTATAAGGCTAATTTGGAGCTACTAACCCCCAGGCAACCTACCCAACGCGCGAACTTTTGACTTAGAGGACTCTTGTCCTCGTACTAGAGCCAAACCCTAGCCATCACAGCTTAACAATGTCTTAAGCAACTCCAAAATAAATAAGTTAACAACTTATATACGTATTAAACAGTACACGAAACTACCTTCATTCACAAGTAGGTTGTAACCACACAACACATGCTCTAAATCCACAACAACTATAGGATGACAATGTCGAATCTTCAGAGCGCGATTCGTTACGCGCTATAATAATATAATCCAATATTAAAAACATAATTTATAAATCTATTACAAGTCTAAAATCATGCTTCAAACATACTATCAATGTCAAATACATGAGTTAATCAATGATACAATAGAAACAGAATTTAATCAGATAAACTAATTAAATTCCCTAGGTTTCAAATCTCAATCAAATGGCCCCTAATCAATGCATATTATACAATATAGCATAGTATATACATACATTCACTAAAATCTCAATTAGGCCAATGGCACAACAAGGTAAAATTTAATTATATCATGATAATTAAACTTCTAAATTTCAAAGCAACTTCAAATGGTCCCAATTTAATATATACTAGTACACAAGTCCTAGTCATCATGATTATCAAGTAAAAAACTTAATTGGGCCAAGGGAACCATTAAAAAGTTTTTAATTAATCATTTAATTTATAATCTTTAGATTTTCATACTTGTCCAAATACTCTCAAATTAAAGTATGTTAACAAACATGCTAAGACTTAATTTAAAGGCATACTACAAGTTCATTTCATGAAAAGTATGGCCAAGGGATTTAATCTTTCACCAAAGATAAATATTAAATAAAAAGTGCAATTCTTATTCAATTAATCCCAATTTAATATATGTTAACAAACATATTAAAACATGATTTTCTAGCATGCCACAATTCCATTCTAAGTTATACACATCCTTGTGAATTAAATTTTATACAAAGAAATAATTAATACTAATTTTCTAGAATTGATACAAGGCATGCAATTAAGTTGTATAATCATGCTAAACACTCAATACAACACACACAAAAGCCTAGAACATCCCCTACCTCAATTTGAGATGAAAATCTCAAAAGCCACCAAATGGAAACCGCTCCGAATCCGACGAAACTTCTAGGTTTTGTCGGGGACTACACCGTGCACATAACCCCCAAGGAAGCCCCATCAAAATCACAACTTGACTTCAAACCCAAACTCAAGGAATGGTCAGAAATGGGTTCTAATAAGGGTGAAAGAAGCACGTAGTCAACATGAACACTAAACGTAAAGGCCCTTCTATGTTCTGACGAAGGAATGAAGCTCAAAAGAGGAGAGAGAAGGTGGAAGCCTCCCTTGGGCTGCCATGGAAGCTTCAGGTCGTGCAAGAGAGTGGGGAAGATGAAAAAATAAAATATCTCACCCCCCTTTTATAGAAATCTCAAAAAGTACCCCGAACAGGCCCTACCGGGTCCGAAAAAGTGAAACTTGAGCAGACACGCTCAAATGACAAAACTCTATGAATAAAAAAGATTCAAAATGAGAAAATATGAACAACAGAAGAAACGGCATCAAAAACTGAGTCCCAAGTAGAAAGTTATGCCCCAAACAAGTTTGGCGCTAACTAGGGCCAAAAACCCTGAAACTGGAAAACAATGACCAGAAGGAATTTCTAAGAGTACACGACTCGATGAAAAGTGAAAATGAATCCCGTACGAGGATCCAGGCTCAAAACAAGGCATTTAGCAATAACTTTCATTAATTGCACAATAGCCCCTCCAAAAAGTGAAAACTGCACTAATGGCCCAAAATGAGAATATCTTCCAAAAATATTTTCTTAAAAACCTCTGTAATAAAATATCTTCAAAAGATATTTACAAAAAACACCCCAAGAAAAGAAAATAATTTCAAAGAACTTTGCATCCATGCCCCTATGGACACCGGGAGCAACTAGAGTACTTTCTTGCAAAAGTAAAAATATGTATTTCGTGCAAACCACTCAAGATGGAGATACATGAGTCAAAAACCAACTCCAAACACAAGAAGTGTGGTTACGCCAACAAAGTGTCAAACGGGGAAAAGATAAAATAGGGAAAAGGATGAAATAGGGAAAAGGACGAAAAGTGAATAGTGTCGAAAAACGAAAAATGTGGAAACGACTCGGTCCTCAAAGGAAGTTGTCAATCCACAGAAAAGAGTCTCGGAAATCACTCCAGAGCACTCGAGACGACACTAAGCGAAGAGGAATTGAACTCAGAAAGGAAAGACAACGGAAAAAAAAATATATATATATATATCCGTGAAAATCCGGGTTATTACAATTCCAAGCTCTCTTTTGATGAAGCAAAATGTATCCTCTTGAAGGGGTTTGGTAAAAATATCCGCTAGTTACTTATCGGTGCTTATAAAGACTAATTCAATGTCGCCCTTTGAAACATGATCTCTATTGAAGTGATATCGTATCTCAATGTGCTTCGTTCTTGAGTGCAAAATAGGGTTATTTGAAATACAAATAGCACTCGTATTATCACATTTTATTGGAATGTGGTCAAATTTAAGTCTGAAGTCTTCAAGTTGTTGCTTAATGTAAAGCATTTGGGCACAACTACTTCCAGCCGCCACATATTCGGCTCCGCCATTGACAAAGCCACGAAATTTTGCTTTTTGCAAGACCAAGATACTAGTGATTCACCAAGGAAGTGACAAGTGCCACTAGTACTTTTTCTATCAACCCTATATCCGGCAAAGTCGGCATCCGAATAGCTAACAAAATTGAAAGAAGTATTTCTAGGAAACCAAAGACCCAAATTTATTGTACCACATAAGTAACGAAAAATACGTTTAACGGCACACAAATGAGATTCTTTAAGACAAGATTAAAATCTAGCATATAAGCATACACTAAACATTATATCCGGTCTACTTGCGGTTAAATATAGAAGACTACCAATCAAGCTTCTATACTTTTTGAGATCAACATATTTGCCTTTCTTATCTTTATCAAGTTTCAAAGATGAACTCATGGGAGTTTTGGCATGTTTGACTTCCTCCAAGCCAAATTTCTTTAGCAAATCTTTAACATACTTGGATTGACAAATGAAAATGCCATCAGTGCTTGTTTGATTTGCAATCCTAGAAAGAAGGCAAGTTCACCCATCATGGTCATTTCAAATTCATTTTGCATACTAGAAGCGAACTTTTCACAAAGCACACTATTGGATGATCCAAAAATGATATCATCAACATATATTTGAATAATTAATAGGTTGCCATCAATAGTTTTAGTAAAAAGAGTGTTGTCAATTTTTCCTCTAATAAAACCATTTTCAAGTAGAAATCCATTTAGTCTTTCATACCAAGCTCTTGGAGATTGCTTCAAACTATACAATGCTTTTGACAATTTATAGACATGGTTAGGATTATCATAGCTTTCAAATCCCGGTGGTTGTTCTACATGCACTTCTTCCTCAATGAAGCCATTTAAGAAGACACTTTTTACATCCATTTGATATAGCTTAAAGTTTTTGTGGGATGCAAAGGCGAGGAGCATTCTAATGGCTTCAAGCCTAGCTATGAGAGCAAAAGTTTCATCATAGTCAATTCCCTCTTCTTGGTTATACCCTTGAGCAACAAGTCTAGCCTTGTTTCTCACAATTGTTCCCGATTCATCTTTTTTATTCCTAAATACCCATTTTGTTCCAATGATAGTTTTATCTTTAGGTCTTGGAATTAATTCCCAAACTTTATTTCTCTCAAATTGGTTAAGTTCTTCTTGCATGGCCAAGATCCAAAACTAATTATTTTCGGCTTCATAAATATTTTTTGGTTCAAGTTGGGAAACAAAAGCCACATAATTACATATATCACCAATTTGGGATCTAGTACTTACTCCTTTAGATGAATCGCCAATAATTTGATTTATTAGATGATTAGGTACTTGCTTCCAATCCTTAGGGAGAGTGTCTTTATGAGGATAACTTTCTTTTGGATCATCTTTAGGGAGATCTTCAAGAGATGAATTCTATGGATTAAGATTCTCAAAATTCTTTTCAATCTCAATTATATCCTCAGTATCATTCAATAGTTTGGCTTCCTTTTGTTCCAAAGTTCATAAGGAGTTTTATTGAGAAGTTTTCTGATGATGACTCTATTTATGACATAGCATGAGGTAGTAACTGTCATGACCCAAATTTTTCTAAATAAAATCGTCGATTTATTCAAATCAAAATACTTCAATTTACACCCAGGATCTTAAAAAAAAAATACCATTTTATTGATACAGAATCAATTCCTCAAAAATGAATACAACATCTCTCAAAATAAATAAATTAATTCCTCAACACCAACTCTTCCACCTAAGCCCGCAGCTAAAAATCCTCAAGCATCCTCGGTACTTGAAACTGTAGGGGAGTGAGATGGGGAAGTCCCAGTAGGAATACCATAACAAGAATCTCAAGAAGTTTCATGTAAAATTAGTTTCACAAAAATATACATATACATTTAAAATAAATATATGTAATTTTAACAAAATATCATTCAATAAAATAATTGAAATAAACCATCCAAGCCATTCAAGTATGATAATCCCTACTTTGTAAAATAATTTATCAGTGGAACATCAAGCTTTCAGCCCTCTCTGCCTTCTCTCGGCATCTCTATCCTCAAAACTCTCTCTGTATTATTTTTCCTCAATTTTTTCTCTCCTCTGAATCATTCTCATCAAATTACAAAGCAGATACATATATAAAGAAAAAAAACTGCACCGACACAATAAATATCAGCCGACAAAAAAACAAATCAAAGGACAATGGACCCGCCACCCAATCACTTTGGCTGTCTCACATCATTTATCTCTTTTAATTCCTTTCATTCATCTGAATCCAACCAATAAAACAGCCCACGTGAACAAAGCCCAGCCAAGAGAAAAATTGGCAAAAGGTCATCTAGTGGAGCCCACACCTTTATCATTACCATTCAAACTTTTCTTTCTTTCTTCCCATTCGGTAGCTCCCTTGTCCATCAGACCTCAAAATAAATATATAAATATATCATACATGCTCAAAGTCAAAAAGTCCTTAAATATCATTACCTTATCTTTTCTATAAAACAATTACAATGTCACCAAAGTAACCCACGTGCAAAACTCAAGGCCAAATACAAGGAACCAAAAAAAAGTGGACCCGCCACCACCTTGCTTTCCTTTCTTTATCTCAAAATCCCATCCAATTGAATAATATATATATATATATATATATAACAACTAAACTTCCACAAAAATATCAGTACCATAATCAGTTAAATATCCCATTCTCCTTTCCCATTAATTCGGCTGCCTTACCCTTGCATCTGCTCCATTTTGTTTTAACAGATACACTATATATATATGTATATATATATGTATATCAATGTAATAAAACCTATTAACATTTCCTAGTGACCCCACAAAATACCATTTCAATCTCTTTCTCTTCCCACTATATATATAATATAAATACAATTGCAAATTAATCAAAACCCATTTAGTCTCCTTCCACCAATTTTGTCCAGAAGCTTCAGCATACAAAATTATAATCAAAACCAATTAAAATATCAATTGGGTAAAATCTCAAATTCAAGACCTAATATCTCAAATAATCAATTTTTGACAATTAAAAATTATGGGATAAATAAAATTTTAACTCTTAAAAATCTAGGTTGTCACAGTAACGGCTTCGGCCAATAGAGATCTAGGTGACTTATGTTCATTTAACATAGTCCTAGCCATTTCTTGGATAGACCTATTTTTCCTTTCAACAACTCCATTTTGTTGAAGAGTTCTAGGAGCCGAAAGATTATGATTATATTCATTTTCATCACAAGACCTTTCAACGTCTTGGTTGTCAAACTCTCTACCTCTATCACTTCTAATTGTTTTAATTCTATACTCCTTTTCATTTTTGACTCTTTTACAAAATTTAGAGAAAGTTGTGTAAGTCTCATTTTTGTGTGAAAGGAAAAATACCCAAGTGAATCTAGAGTAGTCATCAACAATTACAAAAGTATAGAGTTTTCCACCAAGACTAGCTACTCTTTCCGGACCAAATAAATCCATATGAATTAATTCAAGTGGTCTCGTAGTTGTTATGTCCTTTTTTATTTTGAATGATGACTTGAGTTGCTTGCCTATTTGGCATGCACTAGAAGTTTTATCTTTTGAAAAGTTAGTCTTTGAGAGGCCTTTGACTAACTTATGCTTAGATAATTTTGAAATCAATTCCATGCTACCATGATCTAATCTTCTATGCCACAACCAGCTATTTTCATTTGAAGATACAAGGCATTTAACATCTTGATCATGCAATTCACATAAAAGTAAAGTATACACATTACCATTTTTAAGAGCATGAAACACTTCATTGTTATTCTTCTTAACAATGCATTTATCCGATTTAAAAAACACATCATAACCTTTATCACATAGTTGACTAATGCTAAGCAAGTTATGTTTTAAGCCTTTGACAAGTAACACATCATCAATAGATAGGGAAGAAGAGATACCAATAGATCCAATGCCAATGACCTTGCCTTTTGAGTTGTTTCCAAACGTTACGCTTCCTCCTTTGTGAGGCTTGATAGAGAGAAATTTTGAAAGATCTCCCGTCATATGTCTTGAGCATCCACTATCAAGGAATCACTTATCCTTGGATGATCTTCAAGCAAACCTAAAAAAGGAATTTATGTGACGACCCTAATTTTTAGGCCAGCGTGTCCTATGATGAAGCGAAGATTTAACCCGATAATGGATCCGATATGCGGAAGCGAAAACAGAAAACAGGACTCTAAGAAGTCAAAGTGACCTTCCATGAGGTCGTGGAACTCAATGAGAACTGATGCGGAAGCAAAAGGTCAAAAATATGACAAAGTCATGATAGCATAAAGTAACATGAAACAAGATAACAAAGAAATTTAACAAGATTGAAACAATTCAATTAGCACGACAAGGATAAGGCATAGTATCAATGAAATCAAATAAGGTTGGAACATTTCATATAACAAGAAAAGAGTTTTAAATCTTTAAGGAATAGCAACTTGAAATTTAAAGATTGAAAACAACCAATGTAGCAACTTGGATATCGCTCGGATTAAAACCGTTCTCATGGGATCACTTTAGGGCTACTAACCCATGGATACCTTCCCCGAGTGCGTACTATAGAAAACCGGAATCTTGGGATCACTTTAGGGCTACTAACCCATGGGTACCTTCCCCGAGTACGCACTATAGTATAGAGGGACTTTCCCCCGTACTAGAACCAAGTCCTAGCTATGTCAATTTTGATTGATATCACCAAGTTTCCAAAATCAACATGTTGTGCAAGTCAAGATAGCATTAAGACACAAGTAATGCATTGAACACGTTTTATGCACAACTAAGATTTTGGAAATATACAAGTCATGGCCTAAGTTCTCAATTAACATGGCATGTGAAATGTCAAGAAATCATAATATGCATCTACATAGATTACAAACTAGGATATATGTCACATAGAATCCATCGATGTTAAAATACCACAAATATAAGATTAATGATTTAATTATTTACTAAACAATACATGAATAATTAAATCACTTAAAGACAATTGTGCTAGTTCATTAAGTACATTAATGAAACTAAGATACACGGGGTCTAGTTACATGATGAAAAGCTAAAACTTCCATGGAATACAAGTTATAACTAAGTGAACTAAGTTCTATACGAGTAAAACAAGTGTAAGTCTCTAACTTATCCGATTGTTCTCAATTTAATACACGTGAAGGAACATGTCAAGGAAATCATGTATGCAAGGTTAGAAACCTAATCAAGTGCATAGAACCATTGAATGTATTTTAATTATTTCATTTAATTAAAATCTCTAGATTTTGAAACTCGTCCAAATGATCTCAAATTAATATATGTTATTAAACATGTCAAAACTTGATTTAAGAGCATGATACAAGTACATTCTATACAAGTTACGGCCATGTGTATTAAACTTTAATACAAGAAAAATAATAAATGAAAGACTTCAAAACCAAATCAAATATTCTAGATTTAATATATGTGAAACTATATTGCATGCACATCAAGAATTTCAAGTCGGAAATCCAACGGGATGAATAGTACACGTGGAGCAAATTAATTAATCTAATAAATTAAATATTACTAGATTTCAAAACTTCTCCGATTACTCTCAATTTAATCTATGTTGAAGAGCATGCTAGGGCCTAATATAATATGTTATCACATGTTGATTTAAAGCTAGATAAGGCCACATGATTTAATATTTTATTCAAGATAAATATTAATTAAAATCTTCATTTCTTGTCCAAATAATCTAGATTTAATTAATGTCAATCTACATATCAAGGGGTAATAATCTATCATGCCACATGATTAAACAAAGTTATGGATAACTGGGAAAATTAAATCCTTTACAAGAAAAATAAATAATAAAATCTCTAGATTTTGAATCCAAGCATGTAATCAAGTTGTATAAGCATCACAAGCATGTAGTATAGCAAGAATTTAAATTATAACACCCCCTACCTCAATTTAAGATGAAAACCTCAAAGGCCCACCGAAAAAAAAGTGTCCCGAATACGCCAAAACCGAAGGGTTTTGTCGGGGACCACATGATCTACATGAATCCGAAGTTAGCCCCATGAAAATCACAACTTGACCTTAAACCCAAACTCAAGAAATGGTCGGAAATGAATTCTAATAAGGGGGAATGGTAGAACACGTCGAGGGGAACAAAAACCATGAAGGCCGAAGACTTTTCACTTAGGAAAAGTAGATCAAAGGAGGAGAGAGAAGGTGGCAGCTCCATGGGCATCCATGGCTGCTTCAGGTCATGCAAGGAGAGTGGGGAATAAGAAAAATAAAATATTTCACCCCCCTTTTATAGAATCTTAAAAAGTGCCCCGAACGGGCCCCGCCAGACCTGGAAAAGTGGAATTTGAGCAAACGCGCTCAAATGGAAAAACTCCGTGAACAAAAAAGATTTAAAATGAGAAAATATGAACAACTGAAGAAACGGAGTCGAAAAGCGAGTCCTGAGAAGAAAGTTATGTCCCGAACAAGTTCGGCAGCAACTGGGTCCAGAAACTCTAAAACTGGAGAAAAACGACCAGAAGGAAATTCTATGAATGTATGTGACGACCCTGGTTTTTTAGCCAGCGTGTCCTATGATGAACCGTAAGGATGATCCGATAACGGATCCGAATGTGGAAGCGAAAACAGAAAACAAGACTCTAAGAAGTCAAAGTGACCTTCCATGAGGTCGTGGAACTCAACAAGAACTAATGCAGAAGCAAAAGATCGAAAATATGACAAATAAGCCCCCAGGGGCAAAATACTCATTTCTAAAAATTGTAGATTTGGATGCCACCGAGCACACCGCTGGAAGGACAACGAAAAACTAATCAAGATGGACTCAAGAATCGCATGATTCGGAGTCCGGACGAAGGCGAAACGGCATGACGAAGAAAAACGAGCACTTAAAGCAAAAAGGATAAACTAGTAATTATTCAGGAAGAACCAGGAGCAACCGAGCACACCGTTGGAAAGACTGTGAAAAATTAGTCAAGTTCAAAAAAAAGTTCACTTGATTTGGAGTCCGGACGAGGGAGAAACGAGGGTTTGAAGTTAAGACATTGCGGCGGCCCGAAGAAAAGCATGGTGCACACGGCGCCCACGCGCGATTCCACCGGCGCGCATGCCGGCGCCCAAAGACATGGCTGGTGGTAGCCCTTGGCTGCTGTTACATTTTTTTTTTTGATCTGCCCAGAACTGAGGCTTGAAACGGAGGTCAAGACGAGTTTTTCTGGAAAAACACGAAGAAGAAACCCCCCCTAAAATCGAGTTTTCTACCTGACTTCACAGACGGAAT